AAAAAAACTATAACAGCAACAGATAGCAAGAATGCCAGTTGTCCTTAAAACCTTTCATTATCTGCATTTCTATATCCTGCGAATCCATAAAGGCACGTATAAGGGAACATGCAATGTGTGAAAACAGACAGACTGGAAAACCCAGCACTGTGAAATTAACATGTGTTATCATAACAAAGATCAAGTTGAAGGAAAGATCTGCTGCTGCTAATTTGATAAAAATCCCTCCTCCATGAAAAACTGCAAACACTCATCCTGTGAGAGAAATACCAGCGATGCTGTATGTTACACATCATCACGTCTTTCTTTCATTGCCTTTTCTGACTGGCTTTCTACTGTTATCATGAAAGACACTCACATTTGCCTCGCGGCTAAACCTCACATCTGTCTGTGTTTCCAGATAATACGACAGCTCTGATCAGCGGTTAATGGCCAGTGGCATTTTAGTTATTTCACTCCTCCGCTTTCTTCATCTTCTTTTAAAATAATCTACGCATTTTTTCCCTATCATTAAACCCCAAAAGACCCAGAGGACCTGCAAATGAATCACTCATGCTGAAATACATCTGGGGACAAACAGCCACCGCTGAGATGATGCTGATTCGTGTGGCGTTTGGATGAAATCCAAGCTCGTCTCTGAAACATATTGTGATGCATTCACTGTCTAAGTTATTTGTCTGCATGTACCCAGTCCCCTTCAAATGATTTTTTTTTTCTCTTTTTTGGCCCAAAGATGTCTGCTTTGCCCTGCGTCACTGGACGAACAACCAACAGGATTTAAGGGTGGGGTTGGGGTTCCTTCAAGCTGTCATTTTGCGTGTTCTTCTACGTCACAAGCATCACCTCTTAACACCAGTTTCTATGGAGAAGAGGGTAAAGAATAGTTTTTTCTGGGGTTTTTTTGTTTTGTTTTGTTTTTTACTTTTGTAGGAGAATGCAGATTAACAAAATGTCCACTGTTTGTGCAACTGCTATCACAAAAATGTGCACAGTTGGTCAGATATTAAAAGAACCTACAGCAAATAACCATTCATCATTTTTTCACCCCTCTGTCTGTCTGAGGACACCTAAGGGGTACAAACTAAAAAAAAAAACATGGAGTTGGTCTGACCCTGAAAATAGAGGTCACACAAGCTTTATATATTCCATTCAGTACAAAGAGGCAGAGCCATGGGGGCCTGCCACACAGGAACAGTTCATTTTAAATGTCCTGCAAACACCGACATATATCACTGATGTTCTGCATATGTTGTGACTGAATACTGCCATCCTGTTTCTTCAGGAAATAAACGAGCTTGAGGCAACATCATGACTATGTCAGCATGATGTCCTCGCAGTACCATCCCTTCAGCACCCACTGGCTACATCGAAGGGGCTGTCTTTGCCCAAAATGCATTCAGAAAGGGGAAGATGAGGTTTTGCTTTATAAGGCCAAGCCTGCTGGATACCCTCAGAATACATTATGCCCCCCTCTGCGCTTTTAAGCTTGCGAGACCATTATCCAGCAGCTCTCAGTAAGTTCTTATCAGTGGCAGCCAGATGGAGAGCACACCAGCAATACCTCAAGACTTGTTGATCGAGCAGTGCTGCCAGAAAGGCCGTCATTGTGGAGCGGTTCTGTGGTTTGAGATTAGCATCTTGGCTTTGTTTCCCCCCTCTACATTTTATAATTGCTAAGAGAGGTCTCGTTAATGATTGTTCGTTGGTTGGATTGATTTGTCAGCATGGACAGCCTGAAGGAGAAGAAAACGCTGGCGTTGCATTTTTTATGGTGTCCTTTTTAAAGCATTGGTCCACGTTGTCTTGTCCACACCTCCACATATTTGGCTTAATAATGGGATGTCACACATGTCCTAATAGCCTATCAAATGTAATCTAATCAACTGCAGTATGAGAAGATGTTCACCGAAGGGGCTGTCTGCATGATAGGTTTGGCCACACAGACACCAGTACACACTGTCCTCTAGTGCTTCTTACCACTAGTGGCAACCCATCCACGAGATGTCGTGCAGTAAAAAAAGATTAGACATAAAAGCGGGCAGAGCAGAAATATACCCTGTTAAAATCTGGAGATAAAAATATGATTGCATGTTGACATAAACTGATGCTGACTGCTCCACCGGCAAAACCATGTCACTGCAGAGAAAAGCACAAGAATAGGCATCCACCAGTGCGCAGTCTCTGGTCTCTACCTCAATTCTACCAAAGGGGTAAATACCCACAATGCACTACTTGATGCTTTTGTGCTGAGTCCGCGTCACAATGGTGCTCTGACCCACTTTTTCAGCAGCCGGCAGGTTATTTTAGGATTTCATTAGCGGGAACATCAAGGGCAAATGAAAGGTGAAGAATCTCGTACCCGCAGTCAAAATGAACTATCATGTTCTTTTTTCAATGGAATTGGTTTGAGCGTCTGTCCTGTTTTGTGTGCAGCCTGGCTGGCAAAAGAATTGCAACCACATTTCAACCAGGTTTAAATGCAGAACCGAGTAACTCTGATGACAAGCGACGAGTTGTCAGTTATGGTTACATGTCCTCAGGGAGAACGTGTCACCGCTCCTCCTGAAAAGCACCAGACACCACCTGGAGACAAATTGAGTAAATAAACACGTTATAAATAAAATCTTAAACTTAAATAACAGATTGTAGTCTGTTTTTTTCTATCAAGAAAAATAGTTCTGATCTAAAAAGGCATAACGATTTTCTTTTCTTTTTTACTCTTTTAGGAAATTTGCTGTCATGTTGAATCTTTTCAATTGCTCAACTCCTCATTAATGCAGATATCTAACTAGCCAATCATATGGCAGCATCTTGGTGCATATAGGCATGCAGACATGGTCGAGACAGTCTCCTGACATTTAAACCAAGCAACAAAATGAGGAAGAAAGTGCTTTGAGGTGAGAAGAAGGCAACAATAACCACACATTACATCTGAGGTATGCAGAAGAGCCTCTCTTCTGGTTTCATAACACATGAAACATTGAAGCAGATGGGCTACAGTTACAGAAGACCACACTAAGTGTCACTCCTGTCCATTTCTGCCGCACAAGCAACATAAAAGCACAGATCCTTCACCACAGAGCCTCATCTTATCGGTTGGGTCATGGGGTTGGTGGTGTGATTGGCACAATTTCGGCTCCTTAGTACCAACTCAAAGCATAATTTCAGGGTTTTCTAGAACAATGAGTTCACTGTACTCAAACAATCCAAGCGAAGAACCAAATTGTAAGAATGGCACCTCATGTTTTTAATGAAAGTTTATCTGCTAGGGTTTTTCTTTCAATAAAAAATACAAGATATATTTTGTTTGTTCTTACAACAGAGTGGATTATAAAAACATAACAGGGTCTCAATGGCAAAGGTTAAAAGTAATGCAAACGGAGAAAACTAGTCTTTACATGCAAGACCCATGAACTGGGTGTTATGCACAAGCCGTTACTCATTTTCATCAGATTATCATAGCACATCATTTAAAATCTGTTGAGACCTTCAAACAATAGGCCCGGCACAACACGTTACTCAACATCTCACAATAATCTCAGTAATTATGATACTGATATTAAACTCGCTGTTTTCAAACCCTATTTTCACCAGTCTGAGTGCTTTAGCTCCATTACAAGCCTCGTAATCCTTTATATAACATGTCTGAGGCATTTATTATGCAGCAGGTCTGAAACACCCCACCATTATAACAACAAAACATAACCCCGGCCCATTTGAACTCGCCAGTTCAAACACATTTTACTTGCACCATTAAGACTGTGATTGGTGGTTATTACAAGCTACTCTCTGTCAGAACGTCCAGATGCTCTTTTTGTCAAGGTCAGGATTATTGGAGGTGGACAGGGGAGGAGGCGGGGGTTTAAATTTGTACCCATCAGGCACTTGGAGCCTCCGCAGTGACGTGGCACCTGCAACCAGAAAAAGGCACAAAATGGAGTCCCAGCTGGCCTCACATGAGCGTGAGTCAAAGAGCCGGGGGAGGAATGGAGAATGCTTCAGGCTCGATTAGTCCCACATCGTATTTCCATCTTCTGCTCTGAGCTTTGTCACCCCGAGTCATTAGCACCAAATTCACAGTTGCCATTCTGCAGCATTAGCTGCTGCACGATGCGGCCTGTTTTTTTGGGTTTTTTTTTTTTAAGAAACATGCTGATCAACTGTGGAGGCAAAAAAGATATAGTCATCTACCTCAACAACATCGTGCACCTTACTCGCTCTCTGCAGAAAAGCTGCCTTTACACCTCATCTCAGTGATGAGAGAGAGCAGAAGTGACATTGGCATGCCTCAGGAGGTGGGAAGGGAAGAGAAGAGTGCTGGCAGGAGATACACCCACCCTTTTCCACCTTATGCGTCTGAGCAGACCAGCATGCACTTGTCCCTCCTGGCTGTACACAGCCTGAGAGAAACTTCAGGTCGCTTGCGATTGCCTCCACTGCCATGAAATATCCCTATGCTGTCCAACCTTTGTACCGGGATAAAAAGACATAAAAAAAGGATAAAAAGAGATGGAGGGAGCAACACATAATTGGAAATGACTGAATCTGTGCATAACAGAAGAGGGAGTATGCTGGGAGGGAGGAGGGATGTGAACGATAAGCAGACAGCGGGCGTGAGAATGGGAGTGACAGTGACAGAGTCCAATGCAAAGATAAACAGCCTGGGTGCAGCCCCTGTAATGGCTTTGCACAAGTAATTTGTCACTCCATGTGAAAAGCAAACAGCAGGAAAGGCAATGGCAACACTTTGCACTGACACTTAAGATTGGCCAAGGATGTCTCACCCATCTGTGTATAAAACTGGCTCGGCCTATTCCTCAAGAGCGAGAAAACACCTTGAAAACGTCCAGTCGCATTTCAGTTGACGAGATTATGTCAGGTTCATTATTTTAACTGGGTTTAAAGAATTGTTGCTCCCTGGCTGAAGAAATACAGATTTAATAGGAGTCATAGCTTCTTGGTACAAACGTCTTTAGACATGAACAGAAACATAACTTAAGTGAAATCTGTAGTGTTTTAATTCCTTCTTTAAAGGCAGCTTTTATATCACTTGCAGTATATGAAACTCTACATAATGAAACATATTTTTTTACATCTTTAAAAGGCTTGAAAATGGAAATTGACCAGCCACCATTTTGAAGTAAATGACAAGCGCCATAAGCTGTAAACATAATTTAGCATGTGAGCACTGCCATCTTGTGGCCGTTTCCAATACTACATAAGGAAAAAATATTTGCATCAATAAAAAGCAGGTGCCGACATTTTTCATTATAAATGAGAATATTAAAAACATTCCTGAGCCATTGAGGCATCAAGCATAAAGAAATAGGGAAAAAAAACAATGCTGAGCAAGTCATTCAAATCCAGCAGTTCATTTTGAAACAAACAAACAAAGAACAGAATTTTGTGAAGGCATTATGCACCATCTCAATATATTATCACACCAACCGTCAACCTATTAAAATGCTCTCTGCAGGACCACCTAGCTGCGGCAGGTGAGAATGCAACAACCTTGACCTTTTCCCTGAGATGGGCAGAAGCTCGCCGTTGGCTTTCATCTGGTCTATTTTCCTGGACAGGTCGGCGTCGCTGTCAATGACCAAAGTGCACCTTTGGGCGTAGCTCACTAGAGTCTCTTCCCCTTGCCGAAAATTGCCAACCAAGGAGACCATGTCTTTACCCGCCAGGTGGAGCTCGGCAATTGACGCCGTGTTGGCGATGGTGTTCCGGTCGATTCCGAGATGGCGGAACGCTTCGCTCATGCTTTTCTTCTTGATGAAAGCGGACAGGACTTGTTTGTAGCGGTGAATGACGTACTGGACTCCGGTGGCTTGTGGAAATAGATGACAAGTTATGAAATATATGAGTTGCTGTTGCTTTTTATTAGTTTTAGTAACAATCTCAACTCTCACTGGACATACATACAAATAATTCATGCATATAGTTTCAGCCTTCCAATTTTAATTTAAAGATTTTATTTTGAAAACAGGGAAATCGTCTAACTCACTGTAACATCTGTTTATTTATTCCTATAATTTTTAGCATTGCTTTTAGGATTCACTAAGCCTTCAGCTGCTAATATCCACAAACAAATCTTAATTCTGTTACTGATGCACTGATACCACCTTTGGGTACTTAACTATCCTTTGTAATATTACATGACGTTGAAAATGTCACCTGCATCAGTTTGAGTGAAGAATTAATTTTCTGTTAATGTCCTTTTTAATAAGTCATACACCTACAGTAAGACTGCAGCTGATAGGTGGGAAAACACATGAAACTTGTGTTTTATAACAGCAGCTAATTATCTGCAGTGTTGTCTTTATGAAAGTGTGGTTATTATGCAGAACCTGCTGACTGCTTTTCATTTGCCTGCTCAACCAACCAGTTACTGCTGCCTTAAAATGGTGATGCTGGAACAAGACTTAGGCCTGATTCAGACCTAAGTGAATCTTTCTAGAGTCTACATTGTTGCCCATTTAAGTGCCGATGACTGTGCTGGCATTTATGCTTGTGTGCTATATTACGTGTTAATTACCAAGTGATCATTTCACTGTGTTTTATATGTGGCGACAGATGACAGAAACATGTAAAATACTAGGACTTTTTTCCTCTCCTGGGTCCCTGCTCTTTGTCGTGGTCCGTTTTTTGGGGGGGGATCAAATACATTTATCCCTCAAGTTTTTGCCACTTCTTTGTACATTTCCTCACTTACATTCAGATAGCTTCAGCAGCCTCCCTCCAGGAACCTGCTGACATTTATGAGTCCTTATATTGATGCTATGATTATTAATCCTTAGTTTCAGACAATGATTGTTATTCTGCCACTGAGAAATTCAAAAACTGTGCACAAAAAAAAAAAAGAGCTGGAAATGCATAAAAGCAATCGATGGTACAGGACGGGCCAATCACAGAAGTTACCGACTGCATCAACCTGATGTGTTGTTACATTTTAAGGGCGGTGCAATTCAGGTTAAGTTGTGAGTTACGGCGTATGGTTTTACAGCAGTTTGTGGTTATGACGTAGCTACAAGTAGATTTCCCACTGAAGCATAAAGCCCCAGTTACAAGAATACATATAGCAC